CAGTGTCACTGGCCCTCATATGTGGGATCCGAACTGGGGCCCTCTGGCATCCCAAGCGAGTTCTTAACCATCGCGCCACTCGGCCGGCCCCTACACCACAGGTTTTTAACTAACATTTTTTTTAAGGCCAAGTGCCAACAGCCAGATCCAATTGATATCAAAAAGTCTAAACATTTCCACACCGACATACCTACCTTCTGTTTCAATAATCATGTGAGGTTTTCTTCACCCTAGCAAAAATGAGGTTTTGTGAAGCTCTCTGCCCCAGACGACACTTGTGTCACATCTCTTAGGTCACCTTATGATGTCTCATCATTGCATTTTTTAAAAAAGATTTTATTGGGGAATTGGAAAAGGGGGTATAGTGTTGGGAAATTGGGGAAGGGGGACAGCCAAGTTGTTGTCCTTCAGTCCTAGTTGTGGAGGGTGCAGCTAGCTCAGCTTCAGTTGCCATCTGGTCACCCATTGGTAGCTTGCTGCTGCTCAGCTCAAGATGTCATGTTCAATCTGAGTTGCAGGTGGGCATAGCCCACCATCCCATTTGGGAGTCAAACCAGCACCTTTGTTGTTAGGAGCACGTGCTCTCACCAGCTGAGCCATCATGCCACCTGTTGGCAGCTCATCAGCAGCTCAGTTCGGACACAGCTCACTGGCCCATGTGGGAATCGACTGGTGACCCTGTTGCTCAGAGTTTGCACTCTTAACCAACTGAGCCACTCGGCCAGCCCCTTATCATTGCATTTTTAATTGAAAACTCAAAGAATGCAATTTAAAGGTTTTCCTGGAGTATTGTATAGTGCTTCTTCCTTACCCAGGCTGCCAGATAAGAGACTTAATTTCAGAAAAATTTCTCCCTATCTCTCCAGTCACTGTTTTTTTAAGTTAAAACATTTTGGGGTTTATTTTCACTTTTATGTTTTTTAGTATTTGTAATGTTTGTTGGATATAAGCTTTAAAATACTTTTCAAATCACTCATTAACTCAATAACTGCACAAAATCTGAAATGCTCTAACACTTAGTATCCCAGTTTTAAGTACAGGATTACTTTTATTAAAAGAAATTTTATATGTTTAGAGTTAGTATGGGTCTGCTACTCAGATCCAATGAGACCCTTCCAGTTGGAGAAAACCATTCAGTTTTTGACATGATTGAGACAAGTTTCTAATAAGGCATACTGGGAGGAGTATTAATAGTTTAAATGGCCCTAATTTCTAAGTGCAGGAATTTCCATCTGTGGCAATTGGCTGGGAATGACTGCACATATGTTGGAATTAATACCCTGAATTGGTTTTCTGAATCACAGAAGACCACAAAGGCCAATTTTAAATGGTTTTAATTTTTTCCTATTAATATAAGGATAGAGGTTAAAAATGGTATGACTATTTGTTTTTAATGTCTTCAGCTGACTATAAAGCATTAATAATTTCTAGAGGAAAGCCTTTCAGTGTGTTATATAACTAAGCAAATAAATAGTCTTGGGACCTTGGGAGTTGACTTTAAACCATCATTACGTTTTAAGTAAAGCCTACTTTTGCTATCGTCTTGAAGATTAAACAAAGCCTCCTTTATATTCTGCCAGAGGTAAATGTTCTAAAATTATTAATTTTTTCCCAATTAGCTTTCAAACACTTAAATCACTAAAAAGAATCTTAGTGATGTCTTAAATATAAAATATACATTTTGTAAAAATATTTCTTCTTGATGAATGCATAAACATTTAAAATCTAGTCTTCCATCTAGTTTCAGCAAATGAAATGAAATGTATGAAGAAGCAGGAAATAACATTTTTTAATTTCCAGAGAGCAAAACATACATAATTTTCTTCTGACTCAGAGAGTAAAGGCAGCACTGAGTCAATGACTTAAGAAAATAACACTTTTAGGTGGTGAGCACATAATGTGATATATAGATGATGTATTACAGAATGTACTCCTGAAACCTATGTAACTTTATGAACAATTGTCACCCTAATAAACTTTAAAACAAACAAAAACAAAGCTTCTAAATGGTAGAAAAAAAAAGAAATAAAAAGAAAAGAAAACACTTTTATCAGAGTGAGGTGAAGAAAGGGGTTTGTAATTGCTGGACTTAGAGTCAGGAGGATATACACATCTGCCCCCAAAATGATGAACACATATCATTTAAAAAGCTGGCATCCTAGTGCTAATAAATAAATCACTTGCATGAAAATGCCAAAAGAGGAAACTAGAGTCTGACAACTCACAATTCTTTTGTAAGGTGTTTGTCAGGTAAACTGTTGCTATAGCCAGGCTGCTGAAGGTGGTGGATATGAGAACTGGGGAGAGTTTCTTATATATTTTTCCTGCAGTTATTCTCAATCTAAGAGAATGGGCAACATTCAATGGCAAATTGCATAGACTGAATATTGGGATGCATACAAACTTGATTTTTTTGGCTAACTTGATTGTGCTAATCATCAAAGTAAGAGAGATTAAATAAAATAATGCAAGCTTTCTTTTTAAAAAATCCTCAAAACCAAAGCTTTAGTATAGACCTGATTAACATTCTTTACTCACCCAGATATACACAAAATATATATACTAAAAGTCAGGAATGCAGAATTTTCTCGTAAAGTTTATTTGGGAAAAAGTGCATGCATATCCCAAACAGAAAGTTATAATTCAAACTGAGCTGCTAAAAATTTATAGATTTCTCTATTACAGGTTCTCTAAATCTTTATCTATATAGAATTTGTCAGGATACAGCATGTAAATGGTAATTTACCTATGTCTGCATTCTTTGCCAGAAGGTATTTAAAGAAAAGTTAGCTTGAGCATTTTTGGTCTGGTTGTTGAAGTTTCAAATGTGAACAGTACCTCACTCTGTTACCTGGCAAAATATTGTTGGATATACAAAGACTAATTAGTGAAGAGAAAATAAAGCAAGAAATGTTTAAAATGGCCTATAGAAAGAATATAACAACAACTGAGTTCTTGCCGAAGAAGAATTCAGCAAATAAAGAATTTCTGTACCTTATATGTATCTTAAGCTAAATTTTAGTAGTTAATTTGTTGGGTAAATATTCTCTTTATCATGTTAAATATAAATTTACCCACTAGCTTTTTTCATATTGTCCACTTTTCAATACATTCCATCCGCCATATTCTCAGTTCTACATGTCAGAAAACAGAATGTTTACTACAAAATAACAGTCTGAAGATAGATTTGTTGGGAATTAAAATGAAATTATGAGACTGTCAGAATAGTCTTTTCAAAATGATTATGCATTTGGGGATTTCTATAACACTGATTTGAAATACTTATTTCTATTGGCTAAAGAATATCAGCAATCACCAGAGTTGATAATGGATCAGAAAATGAAACATGGTATCTGGAATTATATGTTAGATAGCAATAGGGGTAGATTTATAGACATAAATAGCCAATGTTTGCTCCGATCTAGGGTATTGTATTCACTAGGCTTCATGTCTGTTATGTGATTGGAGTTGCCACTAGGGAAGCTATGGATTGACCATGGAGCTGTGTTTGCCAGCTGGGGATGGAGTAGGCATGGAACTAATTCTGGATGATGGAAATGTTGACAAAGGGCCACTGAAGAGCCATGAGGTTCACGACAATGACAAAAACAAAAAGTCAAGCTAATTATAGAGGATATCACAGCAAATATCTGACTTCAGATCTATATAACCAGCTCATTAAGAAAAGTCCATTCTGGGAAAACAAAGTATAAAGAAGACAATTCTTTTCATTAAAATATACTGTGTATTTACATTTGCTAGACCCAGCACCACTTATAAATTTAGTACACTGTTCAGAATTTTAGTTAACACAGCTGACATGGTTGTGCTCTGTTTGAAAGTCTAAAAGTAGGTATTGTTGGAATATAAACAGTTTGTATTTGTCTGCTGTGAATCATAATCTTGAAGTTTCTAATCAAGTTTGTAAAATTTTTATAGTAAAACATTTTAATGACAATTTAAAAATGTATCTTCTCTAAAGAATGGTCAAAACAATATCCTTTCAGAAATAGAATGTTCTTTATTATCTTTCCAAAATGACTTTGGTTAAATGGACCAGATGTATATTAATTAAAATTTAGGACAAAGTTGTGATATTCTTTGAGTTTACAAGTTAATCCTTATTGGAGATGTGCCAATTATACAGTAGAATATCATTAATTTGCACTGTTTGGGGACCCCATTAAGAATGCTGAATTTTGCCAACTAAGAAGTAAGCAAATGCAATTTAAAAAGTAAATTTGAGCATTCTGTATTAAATATGTGCAGTTATTATCACATGAAGAAGCGCAGTGTGTCAGGCTGTAATATAACCATACTTGCTGTCATGTTCTCCCATCTCAGTGCTGGAAACTCACCATGTGGAAACCAAGCAAATGTGTTGTGCATCAGCCGGCTTGAGTTTGTTCAATATCAAAGCTGAAACTAGCGAGGTCTGCTGTACTGCTTATTGAAGTATTGTGATTCTTTTAGGCATTGATTCTTACAAAATATATACTGTAACAGTATA